ACGTGTGTTGACTCATAAAGAAAGACCTCTAAGGAAAAACATTATGTCTAATTAAATTCCCATGTGAGACACATTAAATTCACAATAAATTCACACACATATTATTTTTAGGTTCTAAAAATATATAGAAAAAAGGATTTTATAATTTTATTTAATTGATAAGGATTTTATCTTTTAATAATTGTTATTATGCTATAAAGATACTATTATAATTGATAAGATTTATTCACTTAAATATTAATTTTATTTTTTTATATAATTTGTATTTCATCCTACTATAAATGCCACTCTTATATTTATTTATAGAATTGAAGATTTCATAAAAATATTCTGTTGTATTTTCTTTTCATTTCTTTTTGTTTTTCTTTTTCAAAAAGACTTATAAAAGGTATATTATTAGTAGCATTCAATGTAAGAACAACCACTCTTACTTGTAAGATATGGTTCTAATCCTACAAAATTAATATTCCGTTAGATAAATGGCCACAAAGATGAGTGTTAAACATTGGTTATAAGGAATTAACGCTAATACTTTTTTACGAAATAAGTTCATGTCAAATAAAACTTGTAATTGGGTCCCTTATTTCAGTTTTTTGTTTTTAAGAAAAACCAAAAATAATTATTGTAAAATCACCCTACAATAAATAATAACAGTAAAACAACGAGTGACTCGTTTATCGTATTACATTGATACAAAAAATGAGGGCTAAAACATAAGTACTCATATTTCATAAAATAATGCTGCTATGATTTTTTGCGATATCATGAGTTGTTTCTCTTCTTTTAAAAAACTCTCACCTAGTATAAGGGCAATATGCATTACATCTCCAAAGCCAATCCAAATTCTGTCGAGGCTTGTAGATTGTGAAAAAAGACATTACCGCAACAAGAATAGGAATCCATAACATCCCATCTTTGAAGACAACGACCATAGTTGCACAAAACGCACCACCATTGCTTCTACTGAGAAAAGAAGTAAGATTAATCCCCAAGCCAACTCAAAAGGCATCCATGAAAGAAAATCTACTTTTTCACAATGGGAAGAGAACAATTATGAGCATTAGTATAGAGAAACAGGACAATAGTAATGCTATAGTATCTGATATTGCAAAAACTATGAAGGAAGCTCTTCGAACAAAATGTGGAGTCCCTGTTTCTTCATTAGTGCTACCTGGTATTGTGCAAGCTGTAGTGAAAACCATGGTGGTAATATGTATTGTCCCCATGATGTTTGCATTTGTAATGTCCTTAGTCCATTTCTCAACTTCCTTTCTTAACTCTCTGTGTTTTCTCTCACTCCTCATTTTAAATGTTTTTCTTTCCCCCTTGCTAAGTCAAGAAGGACATGGTGCAAAGGACTGAATCCCACTCAAGGTTGGGCCACACGACTTCGGGTGCGTTTACTATTTATGATACTATTTGAGCTCTAATTTTCAGAATGTGCATTTGTTTCATTACTCAGGAAAATGTATCCCAAAAATTTGATTCTTGACATATTTTTTGACCGTTTGGTTTGTGGGGCCTGCCATTTACTAGTTTTATTTTAATCTTTTCATTCTTTCTTCTTCTTCTTTATTTCTTCAGTCTATTTTCTTCCAACCGCTGCGACAACTCTCTTTTCCACCTGCCATCTGCAAGTTTTTTTCTCTTTTCCTTCTTTCTACTTTATTTCTTTCTTCTTCTTCTTCTTTATTTCTTCAGTCTGTCTTCTTCCAACCACCGCTACAACCCTCTCTTCCACCTGGCATCTGCAACCATTTTTCTCTTTTCCTTCGTTATTCTTTAGTTGTTAATGGAGTATAGGTATACAAACGATTCTAAGGGTTGATAATTAGTAGCTTTGTTATATAGTTATATATATATATTAATGTATTGTTTCTAAAAAGTTGGATTAGTACTTAAAATTAATATAGGAAATTTGTATTTAATTTAGTAGTTACGTTATTACCAATCAAATGCTTAATATTATTAAAATGCAAATTGATAAGTTTTCAGGTTATAATAATAAATTATTTTAATAAAATGCACCAAAATATTGTATCAATAAATCATTTATAAAAAAATATACCAACCAAATATTCAACAATTTATTCAACTCAAATAACAAAGTCAAAATACTCTACCAAACACATTTTGTTCATATCCTATTTTCGTAATAATAACCCAACTCCACTCAAAAATACTATTTCAAAAATTCTACCCAAAATAACAAAACAAACACACCCTTCATTTTATCATATGTGCCATAGTTGTGTTTTATTTTCTGTTACAAAGTTTATGTTTCTTCATCATATATTTATTTCATGTCTTGGATTGTAAAAGATATGGAAAAATCTGATACCATATGTTTCATTTTGTAGAAATTCAGTTGCATTTATTTATTTGCAAATGATTTTATATTTATTTGTGAGAAACAAAAAAGAGTGCTTATAAATGTTTTAGTTAGAAGAGTTTTCTAATGCTTTAATTCATAAACAGATTTCATAGTTTTCTCACATGACACGTCTCGGTCACCCGAGTCTCATGGGTGCACCCGAAGCCTATGAGATAAGGAGAGTCGGGACATGTCGTGTCAAAAATAGTATATTTGACCAAATAATATTTACTTCAATTATCAAGTTATAAGCATATTGACGCAACTAAATCAACCTTAGCAAGTGCACTAGTCATGTTTAAGTAATAAAGTGATGAGTTTGAGTATCGTCCCACAGAGAGCAAAGTGAATATTTGTAATTACTTAAAACTGCCTACACGTTATTTGAGAAAACGAAATCTTAGAGTGTAAAAGCAACGGATTAAAAATAACTCAATTAAACAAGTAAACAGTGTGAAGAACTTTGCAGTATTAATGAAGTTAGGGTACATATTTCCCCCTAATTATGCTTGACAACTACTCTTAATGCTCGTTTGTGCTATGAATTGGTAGGATTCTTTTAAAGCCAATTATCCTTATTCAGGCATAATATTCAACTTAATACAGATCCCTATTTGGTTACTCTAAAATTAAGAAGCATGAATTCATCAATCCCTTACGACTAATTCGCCCTATTCGGTTATCAATTAGATGGACCACAAATTAATCCTAGAATCTCTATTCGATTACTTCTAGTTTTAATATGTTGTGCAATGTTATTCCCATAAAACAATTATGAATATGAATTAAGCAATAAACCCTAACTTCTCTATTCGAAACATCATCAAGGTAATTGAATCAATCCAACATTCATAAAGCATTAAACCTAAACTCTTGCACAATTTCATAAACATAAATCTGGTATTAAGAATAAAAATTGTTCAAAACATTATTAGGGTTTCATCCTCTCCTAACAAAAGAGATTTATTCCATCTTAAGAACAAAGAAATAAATAGAGAGGAAGGAAAACATATTCAGACTTGAAAAGAAATAAAAATCAAACTCTTAAATTTGATCTTCAGTCTTCAAGCCCCCATAATGCGTCTTCTCCTCTCAAAAATATGCAAAATTTGTCCCTTGACAACTTATCCCAATTATACTTAAATACCCAAAAGAGTCCTAAGTGAAAAAGAAAAGAAAAACTGATAAAAAACGCGCTAATAGCTTCCGCCACAACCCTGGCCGTGGCCAAATTTAAGTCACCACAGCCTAGGCCATGGTGTTTCCTGGTCTATTCGTTTTTTCTTTGTTCCACCACCATGGCCATGGTGAACCACCAAGGCATGGCCATGGCCTTCAAGAATGTTAGGTAATCTCAACTTCTTCAAGCTTTAAGTCCCAATTTCATTCCAATACTCCAATATACTAAATCAAAGCCTAAAAAAAACACAAAAGTTATCCAAATCAATAGGTAACCATTCATATCTCAAACTTAACAAAAACAAACATCAAAACAAAGGAAACAAATGAGAAGTTAACTAAACTAACATCAAAACAACCCTAAAAACACTCAAATTGTGCAACTTATCACATATCTATAGTAAATTAGTAATTATATATGATAAATTGATGAACATTAGTACATTATTTAATTAAATGATTAGATATTTAATTAACTTATGGGCAATTTCAAAAACTTCAGTTTTACTCTAGTAATTATAATATTATATAATATTTGTATTTTTGGATAATAAAGTTAACTATAAAATTTAATTCCCAAAATTAATTCCACAACTATACTTTGATGTAAAATTTAATATATATATTTCCAAGGATCTATAACTGTGATTGGACACAAATGATAATTTTTTAGGGGTGTATTTGTAATTTTTAAATTTTATTTGTCATTTTTTAAATTAATAGGGGAAAGTTAAAATTTTATAGGGTACCCGGGTAAGGAATCGGAACCTACAGTTCCGGTTCTGGGAACCTAAGAACTGGGTTCCAGTTCCAAATCTTTGGAATTGGTCAGTTTCGATTCTGATTCCTCCAAAAAGTGCAAGGTACCCGGAACCACTCACCCCTATAATCAAATAAATCGTTTCGTCCCATCGTTGATTCATTAGGATTACATAAACATCCGACGTGATTCTAACACTATCAATCACATACCTCTCTTTGTTGTGATTTCTTGCATCAACACATGTTATTTTTAGGTTCTATAAATATTTAAGAAAACAATTTTATAATTTTATTTATATTGTTAAATTCTTGAATAAAATTAATAAAATACTTTATCCTTGTAATTGTGATTGTGAATTTTGAAATAATACTTCAATTTAACACTTATTGTTGTTTAATTATGTTGCAAAGAATTCTTTTGTATCCCAAAGTTCTTGGAATTATCATTTGGTAACTTGTGTCTCGTTATTGAATTTCAAATTTATATCCTTGGCATGCATCTTGAGAAGGAGTTTGATGTTCAATAGTACACATTATTAGTTAAAGAAGATATCAAGACTAAACTAAATGTGAAAAAAAGAAAAGTAGGATTTGTTTATTGTAAACTCATTCTAAAATAAATAATTAGTAGTAAAACAATGATTAACTCGTTTATTGTATTACATTGATATAAAATTAAAAATACTCACATTGTACATATTGGTGCTATGATTTTTTCTAATATTGTGAGTTGTTTCTCTTCTTTTAAAAAACTCTCACCTGGTATAATGGCAATATGCATTACATCTCCAAAGCGAGCCCAAGTTCTATCGCGGAACTTGTAGATTGTGAAAGAGGACATTACTACAACAAGAATAGGAATCCATAACATCCCATCTTTGAAGACAATGAACATAGTTGCACAAAATGCTACCACCATTGCTTCTACTGAGAAAAGAAGTAAGGCTAACCCCCAAGCCAAATCAAAAGGCACCCGCCAAAGGAAATCTACTTCTTCACATCGGGAAGAGATAACGGTTATGAGCATTAGTATGGAGAAACAAGACAATAGTAATGCTATAGTATCTGATATTGCAAAAACTATGAAGGAAGCTCTTCGAACAAAATGTGGAGTCCCTGTTTCTTCATTAGTGCCACCTGGTATTGTGAAAGTTGCAGCGAAAACCACGGTGGCAATAAGTATTGCCCCCATGATGTTTGCATTTGCAATGTCCTTAGTCCATTTCTCGGCTTCCTTTCTTAACTCTCTGTGTTGTTCAGTGAATATAGCTTTAGCAGTTTTCCCTTTATTATTTTCAGCTTCAGCATCCATTGGATGCAAAATTCTCTTCACTCTCTACAATATTATGATTTATCAATCAATCAATGGAGAGAAATATTATTTTTTCAAAAGAAAGAGGGGAGTTAATTAATATTCACCTCAAACCATCGCATCTCGATAGACATTTTGAAATGTGTTGCAGTTGATTCAGCACCAGGTGTATCTTGTTTAGGCAACTCTGCAGCCAAATGCAAGATGTTGTTCCCTTTCTTATCTATTTTCTTAACTACCAAATTTTTCAACGGACCTATGGTGTAAATAATTTTGAAAATGTTATAGTGACGATACATAACAGCATAATGAAATATGGTGTAATTATTTTCATCAACTTCAAACATCAGATCAGGATATTCATGGAAAATTATGTCTAGAAACCGAAGGTTTCCTTGTTTTGCAGCCTCGAATATTAGCGACCAAGGCTTTCTAATAATTTTCAAAATCTGGGAGTCATCCAAATGCATAACTTCTTTCCAAAGGCATTTGACTAGCTCAAAAGCTGAATCGGGAATCTCTTCACCTCTAACTGAAACAGCAAAAGTTTAGTTAAGCCAACATTAGTTCTAAACAGAAAATTTGAGAATGTTAGTATCCCACATCGGGATCTCACACCCACTAAGTGTGATACTTAAACTTTGAAGCCCAAAAAACCTGTCAGATAAGTGGGAACGCCCCTAGCCTTAAGTACCATATTTGGTAGGTGTGAGATGTCGATGTGAGATCTCAATAGAGAATAAGGTAATTAATTATCACATAATTCTAAATTGATAAAAGAATAGAAGATTATGACACATTTCTAATAAAAGGTTACCCAAAAGGTAAACAAAATTTAATTAGATTACTACTATAAATCCCCAATAAAATGCCAAAATTTCAACTCAATTTTATTTTGTGTGACGTTGATATATAATTTATTACCTTAATTTTTTATTTACATATCAAGAATTATTTGTTTTATTAACTTTTTAACTAGAATTTAACATTAGATTTTAAATCTAAATTTTAAGTTGCAAATAAGAATTTTCATTTTCAGTGATTATAAAGGGTTAATTATTCTAGTAGTGAACCCAGAAATATCTTAATTTTCACTGTTTTAATACCATATTTGATAAAAATAAATAAAAACCTCGTCATCCCAGCACTACAAAGTTAAGTAAAAAAATTAAGAAAGCAACAATCAAATAATACCCACAATTCACTTTCCATATGCCCTCAGCCCGATCAATCCAACGCCTCTCATTTAGCCGATCCCTCAAGCTCATGGGCTCTTTCCTCTCCCCAACACTGAATGACATTTATTTATCACCTCTCTTTTCACTTCATTATCTGCTTTGAAACCACACAAAGCACCTTTGTTCTTACATACAATTGCTTTTCATAATTTATATATTGCAAAAAAATAATAAAAAATTTCATAAATTATTGCTTTAGAAGGAAAAATTAAAAAAAAAAAACATGTTAAATGTAAATACAAATATTTTCTTAACAACTAAAAAATTCAAATTAATCTTTTTCATTAAAAAACTTCTTTAAATATTATTTTAAGGTTACTATATAATTTTGTGATCAACACACACACGCCACAAAAAAAAAAAAAAAAAAAAAAAAAAAAAAAAAAAAAATTCCTGATGAAGGCAAAGGTGTTAATGATAAGGAAACAACATAGGTGGATCACTGATTTCCTGAAAAGTCTACTCAAGCTCAAATCGAAGTACGTCTCGGTACATGTAATCGTGCCAAGTGGTGCAATACTGTCATGTCCTTTTTATCACGTATATGAGCTATTTGTGGGTGCCCCTTTGCCAAATCCCGCAACATCTAAGAAAAAAACAACAATCAACACTATCAATAACTTAGATTGAACTCTATATAATTTAATGGCAACTAAAGAAGCAATGCAATTGTATTTAATGGCACTACTTGAATATACATTACTTATTATTTTTTTTTTAAATTTGTTGTTATCAAACCTGAATTGTATTATGAAAAATATAATAATTATTATTATTATATTTTTTTTTGTGTGTTTTTTCTTTTCCATCTCATCATCTTTACAGCAAATATATGATATATGGTGTTGCTAATGTGTCTCCTAATATCATAGAGCCTGAAAATATAAAGTGATTCTTTTGTTAATTAGATCCTAATCATTTGTCTACTAGAGGTAAAATACAATCCACTTTGGAAAATTGACCTTTAAGTATGACCTAGGTTTTTAAAAGTCATCTAATTAGCCCGAATATAAATAATAAAACTTACCATACAAACCATGGTATATCAGATTGACAACCAATTCAAAGCGATTATTATCATCTAATAACTTATCTCCAGTGGTTTCATAAAGGTATTCTATCATCTCTTTGTTTCCCATCAGAGTTGCTTGGTGAAGCGGTAAAATGCAACTATCACATCGGCTCTTTACGAAGTCTTCATTCCTCTCCATCATACTATTCTCACGGTTCTTTATGAGATCTTCATTCTTCTCTATCATAGCCTTGGCGATTTCAACCGTTCCTGACGCAACAGCAAGAAAAAAGGCCGTGTTGCCAGCATTATTTCTTATGGATAAATCCTCCTTTTGCATAAATTGAAGCAGCTTTTTAACAAAACTAGTGCGCCTTGCTCCAGCTGCAAGATGGAGAGCTGTGTCCCCTCCCTCTGATAGCTTAGTTTTTCTATTTATTTCAGGATTCAGGTTAATTAATCTTTGAAATGTGTCCCAATCACCATCTAGTGCAGCCAGGTACAGTTTGAAGCGTTTATTCCTCTTCTCTGTCAAGTAGAAAATATACTAAGTTTATGCATAATATTTTTGCTAAAGATACACATACTTCTTGAAGTTTTTGGCTGTAACCGTGAGTAACCTAAGAAAATTATATTAAATTAATTCTAATGAAATACAAAGCTTTATTTACTTGAGAAAAAGCGGCCCATACATAAATTTATCCCAAAAAAAGGATGCCATATCAACATTGAGATCTAAGGGTCCATCAAAATATCCACATTAAATCTAAGGATTTAAATTAAACGAAAAAACATTACAGTTAGCAAAAGTTAAACTTTGATGGCTGATTTTTTTAAGCAACTGTTGTATCCTTCCTACTACATTAGTCAAAATTTTGAGATAAATCTTAGGCTCTTATATAATTGTTTTGGACTATTTTATTGGATAGTCTCACCACTAAAACAAAAGAATTTGGTAAGATAGTGCCACGAAGGCATACTATGTTTGGAAATAAAAAGAATGAGTGTAGAGAAACTTGTGGTCTTGAGAGTGTTTGTTATATTTTGGTTCATTTTATTTAGACATTTTTTTGAAGGTTTGTATGTGTTCAGGAAAGGGTTATTCAAAGAAGATAGTGTTGATGTACGTAGATATATAAAGAACTTGTGTTGAAGCACTTTAAATTGTCGTGTTTCTTTATTTAGTGTATGATTTATTTGTATATGTGATAATCTAAATATTTATATTATATGTATCTATGCGGTTTCCTATTAGGATAAAGAGTGTAAGAAATAATTCGTTGATTATAAATACCAAGAGAAGGTGGGAATGAAGTAAGAAGAATTATGTTTGTTGAAACAAAAAAGGAAAGCGATAACCATGGAATGATTTGGGTTGTATAGGAACTATAATATTTTTTAATAAGATTTATTTAGAAACGAGGTTTACTTCTAAATTACACAAAATTATTTGATGAAAATTTTGTTGATAATTAATTAAAAAAAAAAAAAAACATCTTAGTTAAAATTTAAATGGTGTGTACTTAATAAATTGGAATATAGAGTATTTTTATGCGTGTATATCATTACACCTTCAATCTAGGATGGAGGAAGCTTCTCTAAATAATCATTAAAGCTGTTTAAAGCTTAAGTGTGTAGATGGAGATTCAACATTAATATTTATTCCGATAAAAATAATGCATCTTTAAAAATATAAAATAAAATGATAAACAATTTACAAGATACCATGAAATCTTACCAACTTTGTCATGAGGAGGGGATGCCATATTCTGAAGTTCAACCCCATATTCATGTAACAAATAGTTTTCCTCTATGTGAATCCTCTCGTTATCAGTAGACATTTTTCCTGTAAACTCTGCAAGGAATTTTAAACATATTTAGATCTAAGTTTAATTTAAATTATAAGACTACATATCTTCAGATGAAAAGAGGCTTTCAAATTACATTGAAGAAGTGGTTTTGAAAGCTTACCTCTTTTGGAGTATGGCTTGCTATATATCTTCAGCTTTTAAAGGAGAAATGCGGATGAAAAGCCTACGTAGTTCAGCGAAAGACTGAAGTTGCTAGCTTATATAGACTTCCAAAGATAAGGTGATTATGCATAACAATTTTCTCTGGTGGCATGTATCGACCAATTACTCAACTGAAAATTGGTAGTCATTTTCTAATATTGATTGTACAACCCATTTCAAGATATAACACAATTAAGTATTATAAGACAGTAATTTAAATAATAAACGTGTTCAGTAATGTTCACATTGAATCAAAGGACAACTGTTCAATGAATAATATTTAAATTTCTTGAAGGAGATTTTTAAATGTTGGGATTTTAAAACCAATGATTAAGAGTCTGGTTTATGGTAGAAATATTAACAAAGAAAACTCATCTTAACTAATGTTCAATTTTTTCTAAGATCAATCAAATTTTTCAATAAAATTTCTGTAGATAAATCTCTAGCTTAGCAAGAGAAACCAAATTTATAGAAACGGTGTTACATGAAATTCAAAGAATACTCAGTGGCGGAGCCAACTAAGAAATAGGNTTTTTTTTCTATCTCCGTTTCCATAACAACAAAATATTAATGTAACTTTTGACTCAGATGCTATGCTTGTCTTCTTCACTTGTCAACACTCAACATTCTTCTTCCACCGTACAAATATGGAAACATTCTGACCGACTCATTAAACTTTTGACTCTCCAAATCGGACTACACATGATCACAACAATATCTCTTCAGGTCTACATTTGAGCTTTCATCCTCTGCTTCCATGACCAACGCCGTCAACTTCTCCACCGCTCTTCGCACACCCTCTTCTTCGACCCCTGCTCTCCGCAGATCGACGGCGTTCAAGCGAGAAAATCTCAGACCCACTCGCCGATGTCGTTCATTGAGTCCGACACCGACTTCGAGCTTCAGTCTCCGTCACGGTCAGGAAACACTGTTCGAGGCTCAAGACGCCGGCATTGAAGGTCAGAATCGCAATTGGAACATTTGCTGAACTGCTTTTCATTTAGAATTAGTGAAAATTTTGTTCAGTTGGATTAAAACTTGAATTTTGCTCTTCAATTCAGTTATCAAAATGGAGGATGCTTTTTCTCAGGGAAATCTTTAGTAAATCATGGCTTTTTTTTAATTGGAATAAAAAGGTTTTAGTTTTAAGTAAAATTGTTATATTTAACAGAGCATGAGCAAGTAGTGGCGGAAAGAAATATGCTGAGGGATCAACTGGCTGGAGAAATGAGGAAATTAAGAAGCTTAAAGCAGTTGTTGATTCTGCATTGAAGGATTTGAGCAATGTAGTTACTCGTTTAAAGGAAGTTTCTCCTTCTAATGAAGAAGAAGATGGAAGAAAAATAGCTCAGCAGCCGATATCCCCTGAAGTGAAATCAGCTAACAAATGCGAACCCCAAAAAGTTGAGCCAAAAACATCTGAAGTAAGAGCAACAGGAAAACGCAGAAACGATATATGGGGACGATCAAGTGGAGATGATTCATTGCCACCTTCGAAAAAGTCTCATCTCAGCCGGAGCACAGGTCGGTCCTTTCTTTAGTTTTGGATTTTCTTAAGTGTTAGGGGGTTCTCTATGGAGTTTGAAGTTATTTTGCTTGAGAGGATTTTCTCATTGTACTTTTACTTTGTTTAATGAAATTTTGCCTTGATGTAACAGCACGATCATATTAAATTTCTGGGTTCTAAGTAACTTCTAGAAAGCATCAAATGATGCATGCGCGCTACCCTTGATGTTGGTGACTTTGTATGTCCTCCCTTGGCTTGCCTTTTTCGGGAACTCACTGGCCGAGTCAGACTCTTGACTCTTCTTCCTTTGAACCATATTATGATGATCTTGGGGCCACGAAGAATCAAATGAATAACAATTCCAAATAAGTTCAGTTTTATAATAAACAGATAGAAAAACCTTAAAAGTACAAAATCATATCATAATTCTACAATTATTTTCTTGTGCAAACATTCAATTGTAGACCTGTTAAGTTCAGTTGTGTATGTTAGAAAGTGGCATAGCAAATGGCTGATGCAAGATAAATCTGAAGAGAAAATAGCATCAAATTCTTCTAAATATGAAACTTTTGGTTGTTTCAAATGAGCCACACTAATTGTTCTTTCCTTTTTTTAAATAATTCTCTTCTCCTTAACGATCAAATTTAGTAAGTTTGTGGAGATTGCAATCTGCAGAATCCCACATATTGAAGAAAGTACTATAAAGTGCAATAAACATTTTACAAACGGCTGTATAGTTAGGCATGGTTTGAGCAGAAGATAGGAATAACCAAATTTGTGAATTGGAAGAGCTTGTTGTAGTTAGCTTCTGGTAGGCCTTATGCGACTACTGAAATTGGGTCCAAGATGGGTCAGGCTTATTAAAGGCATGCAATCTTATGGCAAAATCAACATAAAGTTGGGCTGGGGTAGAGATTCGATGGGAAGGTCTGGGTCCTTGAATTAGACTCTTGTTAATGTCAAATTTGATGTCTCTTTATTTCGGTTGAGATTTTGAGAAATTTTGACTCACCTTTATTTGATGGTTTCTTAGTACATTTGATCACTCTTGAGAAAATACTAATACTTAAAAGAACGATGCATAGGAATACAATTATTCCTAAAATGATAAGAATAACCTCCCTTTATATATAAGTAGTTCAGTGGAGGAGTCAGCACCTTGGAGTTTCCTAAACTGATCAGAGTTTTGTTTACTGTAGATCCAATAACAGAAACAAGACTGGAATTCACTAGATATGTTCTCTAATGCAATGCAGGAAGAATGTGCCTGAATTTAGTGATGAAATAAAGATATTTTTTAGGCTTTGTTAAGTACATAGAGAAGTACTGTGTTTAATTATTATATCATTGCATATCTATGATAACATCAAAGATCTTATATTCTTATATAGTACCAGACGAAATTAGGTTAGGTTAGGTTTGCACATTGTATAGATCATTTGTCATGGATTTGAGTAAAACTCTACATTTAGAGACAACTTTTGGACACATTAATATGAGAAAATGATCCCCTACCTTCGAAAAAGTCTCATCTTAGTTAGAGCACATGTAAGTAATTTCCTTAGTTTTAGCTGTAGAATTTTAATTCTTTTTGCTGGATAGTATTTTCTCTTTGTACTTTCACTTTATCTGAGAAATTTTTACCTTAATGTAACAGAAGATGAATTTAAATTTTTGGTTTGAATTTTAAATAATATCAGTGCATGTTTAGAGAGAAACATTTGCAAGTCGGCTTGCGGTTTGAGTGTTTTGTTGCCGCTTAAGAAGAAGCTTATTCTAAGCAATTTTTCAGAAAAAACTTGTTTGTCCGTATAATCATATGCATGGGTTGCACGCTTTATGAAGCATTTTAAAATATAAGTGATGAATGGTTCTGTTAAGTTCCATTTTATACATTAGAGAGTGACTTAGCAGATGGTTGAAGCAAGATGAGTGTCAAGCGAAATAATGCTAAGAAAAATATTCTTCTAAAGATCGATCAATGTCGATCATATTTAGGGTTTAGAGTTTAGGGTTTAATGTCTAAAGATAATATTTTTTTGATTTCATGTAGCAGGGCAAAATTAAAGAGACAATTCAATTATTAGCTAGAGCAAATATATAGAATTAATGTCTGACTTTCCCAGTAGGATGTTGTTGATTAATGATAAAATAAGTGTTGTTAAATAAATTAAATTATAAGTTAATTAATATAGAAACATAGTATGAATTAATTAACAAATGCTACTGAGTTGCCAGCTCTGTTTTTGACCTCTTTGCAAATTATAGAACAATCAATAATGCGGAGTGTTTGTTACAAACCAGGATCCCGATCCTCTGTGATCCTTGCAAATTTATTTAACAAATACTAATTAAAAAAATTAATTTTATTAAATAAAATTAATATTTGTTCTATTAGATCATCAAAAGATAATGTGATTCAATTTGAAAGGTACCAATTCTGACGGTTGATTGTCAAACTGCCATGTGCTTTACCATAAATTGTCACATGGCATTCAACAATTAATAATTAATAAAATAAACAGTGATTAAATAATTAATAAGTATTGTAAAAGATAAAATTATAAGTCGATGTAAAGCGTATGAACTATTGAATGCCATTTTGTCAGCTCTATTGACTTGTTTGCAAATGACAATTAAATAAGTGATAAGATTATTTCATGGCAATTTTCTTGTGATCTCTCAATATAATGGCAATTTTATTGTGCTATCTCAATATATATTGATGGAGGCTTACGTCATGGAGTTACATGTTACCTAACGATCTTTTTAATGCTTCTACTAAAAATTAAAACCTCACAGTGGTCAATATTATTAACTAACCCATGTTTATAACTATTGTTTTAGATTTTAAATCAACATTATCCTGTTCTTCGATCACAAAATAGAGATGGCAGACTATTAAATTCTGTGTGGCCTAACATAAAGGTGTTGCTTCCACTTTGTCTCGAATTGCTGGCAACATTTTGTTCCATTCTTGTGAATCTTTTTGATCCCAAATGCTGCAGCAAAACAGAGAGTTGTGTTTCCTCTCCATACTTCATCTTATTAACCTTTTTTAAGTTTGAAGCAACACCTTTATGTATTAGAAAGTATTTTAAATGCGTTTAATATAAATTTGAAAATTAATTTTTAATAATATTGTATACTGTAAGGGATATAAAGGTAATATAATAATCAATAAGATTTATTCACTGAAATATCAATATAACTGCCACTTTTAGTTATAGAATTGAAAATTTAATCATAATATTCTATCGGTTTTTATTTATTTATTATTATTATTTTAAGGAAAGCCAAATAAAGGTAACATAGTAGTACCATTCATCATATGATCAACAATCAATCTAATTAGTAAGACATGGTTCTAATAAGACAGAATATAAAGCGCCACAATGGGGTAATTTACTGCAGATTTAATAAAACTGAAAAATATAAGTATTACATCTTATAACATTCATGATAACAAACAATGAGTGACTCATTTGTTATATTACATTGAGGTAAGGTAAGTAAATAACGTTACCACCGCCAGTTTTCATGGATAGAATGCTACACTTTTGCAACGACATGAAACACTTGTACAACGACACTGTAAGTTTTACCCACGTACATGAAGATTGCGAAAATAGCCATTACTGTAAGAAGAATAGGCATCCATAGAAACCTATCTTTGAAGACAATGAACATAGTTGCAACAAACGCTAACATCATTGCTTCTAGGGAGACTAGAAGTAAGTTTAATCCCCAATTCAAATCTTCAAACACCGGGCGACTGAGATCTGCGTGTTCACATCGGGAAGAGATAACAGCTGTGAACATTATTAAGGAGAAACTTGATAGTAATAAAGCTATAGTATCTGATATTACAAAAACTATGAAGGAAGCTCTTCGAACAAAATGTGGAGTCTTTGTTTCTTCATTGGTGCCACCTGGTACAGTGAAAAGTGCAGCGAAAACCACGGTGGCAATAAGTGTTGATGCCATGATGCATGCATTTGCAATATTCTTGGTCCATTTATCAGCTTTATTCCTTAACTCTTCGTGATGTTCAGTAAATATAGTTCTAGCAGTTTTCCCTTCTTCAGCTACCACTGAAGGCAAAATTCTCTTCACTTTCTACAATCGTTGGTTATAAAATATCTATCAATCAAGGGAAAGAAATATAATTTTTTTCAAACGAAAGAGAGGAGTAAATTAATATTCACCTTGAACCAGCCCATCTCAATTACCATTTTTATAGATGCTGCAGGCGATTCAATATCGGGTCTGTTAGTGTTTTGTTAATGCTGGTTGTGCAAAGAAAAGAGAAAAAGAATGAAAAACTGGACTGCAATTTCATTAGACAAAAGTCTGCATATAACATACTTTTGCTTACTGTTTCAACAACTATCAGAAACTTTCACTTAATCTCAGCTAAACCACTCAAGTCTAACAACTTCATTACAAAATAAGCTCAGTCAGTAAATTCAAAATTAACTCTAAAATCTGCATAAGGACTTAAACTACTGAACTCTAGAACAGCACCATGCACGTCCATCCACAATCGCAAAACAGCTTCAAACTTTCAGCAAATCATACTTCCAACACAGCACCAACCTTCAACACTCCACCTTGGTGCTTTGGCTGGAAACACCAAGTTTTAGCCTAAAGGCTTCAAACTTGGATTTGCACAATGTCTTTGTCATAATGTCAGCAACCTGATCTTCCCCTCTGCAGTGCACCAAATTTACTTCTCCACACTGTTCAGCTTCCCTAACAGCATGATACTTAATCTTAATATGCTTAGTTCTGCCGTGGAGTACAGGATTCTTTGCCATTGCCACAGCTGACTGGTTATCACATAGGATCAACGTAGGACCACCCTGCACTTTGTGCAAATCATCCAACATCTTCCTCAGCCACACAGCCTGGTTCACTGCTGCTGCAGTAGAGACATATTCAGCTTCAGCAGTAGATTGTGCCACAGTCTCCTGCTTCCTTGACAGCCAACTGATTGCACCCTTATTCAGGTAAAACACATAACCAGAGGTGCTTCTTGCATAATCCAGGGATCCAGCCCAATCACTGTCAGTGTACCCCAACAATTTTAGACTTTCAGCCTTCCTAAAACAGATGCCTAACATGATGGTTCCTTTTACATATCTCAGCACACGTTTTGCAGCCTTAAAGTGCAGTTCACTTGGGTTGCTCATAAACCTTGAGAGATAACTTGTTGTGAACATAAGGTCAGGTCTGGTGGCTGTATAATACAACAAACTTCCTACCAAACTCCTGTATTTCCCTTCATCTACCCTTTCTCCATTGTCTGTTTTGCTCAGTTTCAGGTTGTGAACCAGAGGTGTATCCACTGATTTACAGTTGTCCATTCCAAACTTCATGAGAAGCTCGGTTGCATACCTCTGTTGGCACACAAAAATCTCACCTGTAGCCTGCCTTATCTCCATGCCTAGAAAATATTTCATCAATCCCAAGTTAGTCATTTCGAACTCAGTTTGCATGGCTGACTTAAACTGGTCCAACTCTTCAAGATTGCTTCCAGTCACCAATAAGTCATCAACATAGAGAGAGACCACAGTCACTCCCCTTCCAGTTTTCCTTATGTAGAGTGTGTGCTCATTTGGGCTTCTAGAGTAACCAAGGCTGCCCAAATGGTCATTTATTCAGCTGTACCAGGCTCTAGGTGCCTCCTTCAAGCCATACAAGGCTTTCCTCAACAGGTACACATAATCCTCCTTACCTTCAACCTTGTAGCCCTTAGGTTGTTCAACATAAATCTCCTCTGAAATCCACCCATTCAGGAATGCTGACTTGACATCCAGCTGGAAAATTTTCCAGTTAAATTGGGCTACAAGAGCCAGTAACATCTTGATTGTGTCAAGCCTGGCTACTAGGGAAAATGTGTCTGAAAAATCAATGCCTGGTTGCTGTGCAAAGCCCTTAACCACCAGCCTTGCTTTGTGCTTGTGGATTGAGCCATCAGGATTAAATTTCAACTTAAAGATCCATTTCACCTGAATTACCTTCCTTGTTTCAGGTCTTGGTACTAACTTCCAGGTTTGGTTTTTATTGATCATGTTGAGTTCTTCCTGCATTGCAGCCTCCCACAATTTAGATTTTGCAGCATCAAGGTAGCACCTTAGTTCCACCACTGCCACATTGCACCTTTCATACACATCAGCCAGAGTTCTAGTTCCTCTAACAGCATGTTCTTCTTCCTCATCAGAATCTGCCTCTTGAATTAGACCCTCATTTCTCTCATCCTGACTTGATTCAGCTTGCACATCAACCATTTTTTCTTCCCATTTCCAGACTCCACATTCGTCAATCTTTACGTCCCTTGTGATTACAATCCTTTTGGACTCAGGAACATAAACTCTATAAGCTTTAGAGTTGCTGCTATAGACTATAAATATCCCAATTTCTGCCTTGTCATCCAGTTTGGACCTTTTGCTAGCTGGGATCATCACATAGGCTATGCTTCCAAATTCTTTTAGGTTCCCTACCGCTGGCTTGACTCCACTCTATGCCTCAATTGGTGTTTGATGTTTGACTGCCCTGATGGGCAACCTATTCAGTAGGAAAACTGCTGTATTAACAGCTTCTGCCCAGAACACTATAGGGAGGTTCTTTCCAGCCATCATACACCTGGCCATTTCCATAATGGTTTGGTTTCTTCTTTCACAAGCACCATTCTGTTGAGGGGTGTATGGTGCTGTGAACTGTTGCTGAATTCCAGCTAGGCTACAGATTGTCTTGAACTCATTTGAAGTGTACTCTATTCCATTGTCACTCCTTACTGTTTTGATCAAGGTTCCAGCTTCATTCTCCACCAGCAACTTAAATTGTTTGAACACAGCAGCCACTTCATTTTTCTGCTTCAAGAAATAAACCCAAGCCACCCTTGAGAAATCATCAATGAAGAGTACAAAGTACTTGCTGCCATTTAAAGATTATGTCTTCATTGGACCACGCATATCCGAGTGGATCAATTGTAGCTTGTGACTTGCTCTCCAGGCTTGATCCGAAGGGAATGATGGCCTGCTGAGTTTGCCAAGCTGGCAGGCTGTGCACAAAGTCCTCTTATCTTCTGTCTCAGGCAGGTATAATACCATCTCCCTTGACTTGAGCTCTTTAATTCCAAGGTAGTGAAAATGTCCAAGTCTTCTATGCCATAACTCAGACTCTTCAACCTTGGTGATTAATGTTGAGTTTTCTGGTTTTTTTCAGTCTAGAGGAAAACTTTTACCCATCATCCTTACACTCAACAATTCATTTCCCTCACTATCCTTTATAATGCAAGAATGGTTTGGCAAATGCAAGGTATAATTTCTCTCTAACATTTGACCTACACTTAACAAATTTTGTGCAATTTCAGGTACAAATAGAACATTAGAAATAACCTTAGTCCCTGCCTAAGTTTGGACTGCCACATCTCCAATTCCTCTTGCTTCCACATAGTCACCATTTCCAACCTTAACCTTGGAGCTGTAGGTCCTGTCCAGCCTAACAAAATTCTCCACATTTGCTGCCATGTGGTTAGTGCATCCACTGTCTATCAGCCGAACATCTCTGCTAGTCTGCATTGAGTAGCATGAAGCTACAAATAACTGTTCTGGTTCTCTGCTCTGCTACTGGTCATCTGCACTTTGTGCTTGCTGTGGTGGCTGTGCAGCCTTGTTCCTGCACACTTTTTCAATATGGCCAAACTGCTTGCATCCCCTGCATTGAATCCCAGGCCTGAACCAGCACTTGTTGTCCGGATGTCCCTTCTTTTTGCAATGGAAACATGGTGGATAATTTCTTCCTCCACTCTGCCTTCCCCACTAACCACCGGCCTTCTCTTTTCCTCTCTTATCTCCAGCATATTTTCTATTACTTCCCTGCATATTTACTCCCTTTTGAGCAGCCAACATAGCACCTTCATTTAAGTCCTCCTGCCTCATCAACCTTCTTTGTTCTTGGGCCTGTAGGGCATGAACCATTTCAGTGAGACTGATTTGGGAGAGATCTTTTGAATCCTCTAAGGAGGATATCTTAGACTCAAATCTTTCTGGTAGGCTGACCAACACTTTCTCAACTATCATCTTGTCACTCATCTCAACTCCCAACAACCTGATTTTGTTCACCACACTCATGAGTCTAGCTACATACTCTTTAACTTTCTCTACCTCCTACATTCTCAGCATTTCAAACTCTCTGCGCAAGTTCATGACTTGCATGTTTCGGGTTGTATCACTTCCTATGAACTCTTCTCTCAATCTATCCCAAGCTTCCTTTACAGTTTCACATGCTATTATCCTTGTAAATACAAGGTCTGTTACTGTAGAATGTATGTGAGAAAGAGCTCTTGGAGCTTTGGAAATTTCCTCCTCATACATCCTCATTTGATTCAAGGTTAGGTTTGGACCAAGCTGCGGTGGCTGTTTCTCCTCTTCCATATACTGCCACACCCCTTGCCCTTTTAGATAGGCTCTCATTCTAACTGCCAAATGTGATACTGGTCTCCATTGAACACTAGAGGTGAGAGAGAAGCTGATTGAGTAGCCATGTAAAAACTGGTTGCAGTTTTTGAAAGTTTTGTTCTTGGGAAGATGGAAGTTTGATGGTGATTTGGGGTGAGTTTTTTGAGTGAATTTTTTGGATGATAGTTGGTTAATGAAGCTCTGATACCATGTTAGTGTTTTGTTAATGCCGGTTGTGCAAAGAAAAGAGAAAAAGAATGAAAAACTAGACTGCAATTTCATTAGACAAAAGTCTGCATATAACATACTTTTTCTTACTGTTTCAACAACTATCAGAAACTTTCACTTAATCTCAGCTAAACCACTCAAGTCTAACAACTTCATTACAAAATAAGCTGAGTCAACAAATTCAAAAATTAACACTAAAATCTGCATAAGGACTTAAACTACTGAACTCTAGAACAGCACCATGCACGTCCATCCACAACCGCAAAACAGCTTCAAACTTTCAGCAAATCATACTTCCAGCACAACACCAACCTTCAACACCCGGTATGCAGAAGAAGATTTCCTCTCACAATTGCCAAAAAAAGCTGGTTGCTGGACCTGTAACACTTTTATTATCAATAGTAGCAATGATGGTAGTGTTTTGTGTAACTATTTTCATTGTTTTCAGAGATGGAGTGTTGTGGGTTCCTATTGTTGTTACTGTAATCACTTCTATACCAGTCCTTTTGTTCACTAAGAAACAATGGCGTCTCCTTTTTGATGTGGTGCGCTCTACATATGTAAGTAGCTCTCTTTTCCAGCCACACAAACGTACTCTTTTCTGCCAAGGGAAAGCAATGGAGTCGAAGAAGAGGAAGTAACTTAGTGTACTGAACAATTAATGGTACTACACAAATTTTGAATCTATTTGTCCATAATCTGATGCTGCAACTCTCAGGTCTTGTAATCCATCGAAGTAATAGTTTGGTTAAATTGAAATCCTTGACTACGGGACTCACTCCATATATGCTACCATCCCTTCATTATTTGTTGGAAATGCAAGTACAGGAGGGGAACAAAAATTAGAGGATGACTTAAGTTTTTAAAGTCGTCTAATTTGGTAGCCCGAATATTAAAACATACCATACAAACCATGGTTTATCAGATATTTATGTTACCAATGAATGTTTAAAAGTCTAATGCGCCCAATATTACTTACCATACCAACCGCGGTTTATGAGGCTGATAAGCAATTCGAAGCGATCATTATCATGATCTAATATCTCATCTCCAATGGCTTCATAAAGGTATTCTACCGTCTCTTTGTCTCCAATTAGAGCTGCCTTGTGAAGCGGTAACATTCCATTGTCTCCTCTAATCTTTACTATGTCTTCATTCTTCTCCATCATAGCCTTGACATTTTCAACCCTTTTCGACGCAGCTACAAGAAAAAAAGCCATATTGCCGGCATTATTTTGTATGGCTAAATCCTCTTTATTCATTTGTCCAAGCAGCTTTTTCACAAAACCAGTGCGCCTTGCTGTAGCTGCAATATGGAGAGCAGTGTCCCGATCCTTTGATAGCTTAACTGGTATATCAATATCATCTTCCTTATAAATACTTTCAGCAGTGTTCCAATCACCTTTCAATGCAGCCCTGTATAATTTGCGGTGTCTACTTCTCCTTTCAATTTCTGTCAAGTTGAAAAAAGAACAAGTTTATGAATAAAATTTTGCTACACATAATAAAAGGGATGCTATAGCCTATAATCAATCAATAAAATAAAAAAGACTTTACCTTTTGAGAATGAGATAGAATTTTGCAGCAGCAGCACTGTTTCTTCTTCTATGGTGGAAGAGTCCACCGGTATGTTCACATTAAACTCTGATGATTAAAATTAAGAGAAGATAATTAAGTACAGTTAACAAGGTTACATGTAGGGTTTTGATATATAAAAAGTTCTTTATGTTAACTTTGTCATATTTGTAATTCCTCTTGACAAATTTATTGAATAGACCATTATGACCTATTAAAACATTTTTTTTTTTAATTAAGTTTAAAAAATTGCATTTATGGATAGATTATTAACCATAAATATATATTTTTTTTCTGGAATTACAAAGGAAATAATAAATGCAATAAGTGACACCAATATATCTAGGTGAAGATATCGGGGACGTCCTACAAAATAAATAAGATGATCACATGGTCTGTTATCAAAGTTTTAATGAATGTCTACATTGTACTATATAATTATATCTTGTGTGCTAATATGAATCTTTTATCTTTATTTCCTTAAAGAACAAAGAGTCTTAAAGTAACATATCAATTTCCCCCCAAAATTGAAAAATAAAAAAAATTGGATATTCATTGCCTTTGATTTATATGAATTTGATAATAACAAAAAAAAAAAAAAAAATGTGTTTACTATTGAAAGATTCAATTTCACACGTGATCATCTTAAAATGAGAAAGTCCTGGGTACATTTTATTGTAATTCAAAAATCTAATGATTAAATATATATATTTTACTTGGATTGATGTGATATATAATCATCCGCTAAATACTTTAGTGTAACATTATGTATATAAGGCTTTCTTATAATATAGAGTAAATCAAGAATAGAAAGATGAATTTGTGAAATTAACCTTCAATCAAAATTTAATATCTATTTTTAACCCTCAAACTTCATAAGCACTTCATGATTACATAAAAACAAGAGAGATTAATGGAAACAAAAAATTAACGCGAACTTAAGAAATGTAGATTACATTTGCCCCTAGACACCAAAATGGTATTCAAAAAATGCATCTTACCCGAAAAAAAAAAAAAAAAAAAGGGGCACAAAACAGATGCAGCATTCATTGCAATGTCAAATCGTACCATCCATTTTTTTATTAGGTGCAGCAATCACAATCTCAACTTTTTCTTCAGCCGAGGTGCATCCTGATGCAGCAACGTAATCTGTTATGATTTATTTTCTCGTTTATTCGTGATAAATCTGCAATGAACTTTATAAGTATTATACAAGGAATTTTGCAGCATAATATGAACCTTATGTTCTAATTGGATTCAAATTGGTAATGAATATTAATTGGAATAACAATCATTCATCCCTAGTACTTCAAGACCTTATATATAATAAATTCAGTATATAATCTTATATTTGTAGATGCAGCAAACCTAAAGAACAAAATAATGAGTTTAATTTAAGACTCTACAAATCAAAGAAGAAGAAGATTAGAATAACAATCATTCATATCATGTACTTCAAGATCTTGTATATAATAAATTCAGTATATAATCTTATATATGCAGATGCAGCAAGTTGAAAGAACAAAAATAATGAGTTTAATTTAAGGCTACAAATGAAAGAAGAAGAAGATTAGAATAACAATCATTCATCTCAAGTACTTCAAGATCTTATATATAATAAATTCAATATATAATCTTATATATGCAGATGTAGCAAGCTGAAAGAACAAAAATAATGAGTTTAAGTTAAGACTCTACAAATCAAAGAAGAAGAAGAAAAAGAAATGGGTTGAACTATTGTTGTGAGGATGATTGCACTTACTTGCCTCTTTTGTCACCTTGGATACAATATGGAGCTAGCTAAATTTATAGAAGAAAAAAATGGCCTGAAGTGAAGAGTAAGAGAAGAATATATGGCTCAAATGGTCTGAAGTGAAGAGCAAGGGAAGAATATATGACTCAAATGGCCTCCAGTGAAGAGTAAGGGAAGAATATATGGCTCAAATGGCCTGAAGTGAAGAGTAAGAGAAGAATGTATGCGTAAATGGCCTGAAGTGAAGAGTAAGAGAAGAATATGTGGCTAAATTGGCCGGAAGTGAAGAGTAAGAGAAGAATGTATGGCTCAAATGGCTGGAAGTGAAGAGTAAGAGAAGTATATGTGGTTCAAGGCCTCATAAAGGAAGTCATGAAGTCAAGCAGCGTCATAAATAACATATTCTCTGTCAAAGAAAAGGAGATGCTGAATGATGACAATATTTCCTAAGATGAATGCCGGGGTTTCTGCAATCTGTATCTTCCTAATAAAGAAATATTAGGTATAATTAAATTCCCATGTGGGATATATCAAAGTTTTTCCAAGTTCTTTACTAAATTACTCAATAAATTCTTTCAAGTTTGGTTATTCGTATATTCCCTTCCTAGGTAGCCCTTTCCCAAGTTGCCTCTTCCGTAACATGGGCTCGTTGGCCCACTCTAAATGACTTCACTCTGGGTGGCCTACTCTCCCAGGTCGCCCCTTCTATAACATGGGCTCATTGGCCCACTCTGGACGGTCGTAACATGGGCTTGGATGGGGTTTGGCTCTGATACCATTTGATAGGAACCCACTCCCAAATTAATTCCCTTCTTAGCCCCTTCCAAAACATCGTTGGCCATAGCCTAATGTCCCAAGTCGCCCCTTCCGAAACATCGGTGAGGTTTGGCTTTGGTACCATTTGATAGGAACCCACTCTCAAATTGATAAAAATTGGGCTAGATAGTGGGACTTTGATGGGAATTGGGTTGGGCAGTTGTCCTTTTGTGAACTTAGGTAGAACTCTCCTTAGAAAACCGACTTGCCAATGAATGATGCCCAAGCCCTTATAAACCACATGCCCTTATTTTTTCCATCTCAATGTGAGATCCTAACAATATATAGGTATCAAGCATTGGTTTCAATGAAGCAAACTTAATATGAAGTTTATAAGTTGGTTACATGATCAGAGGTTTTACGTTGGAGTGATTGAGCAATTAGAGCAAAAGTTGGGATTTGTTTATCATGATTTGATAAATTAAATGAATCTTTGTTCATTACTCAACATTTCCAATACATATGAAAAGATTGTTTTGCAATGAGCTATTACAAGTGATGATTTGAACTAGAAAAAAATACTAAAATCATACAAATGACTAATCATATCAGAAAGAAGGGGGAATTGGAGCAGAGGAAACAGGGTGACAGGAACACTAGCAATAGTGGCTATAGGAATGGCTATCCATGCAAAGTCATCACTTAGAACAATGAAAAGAGTGGCTCCAAATGCTGCCATCATGGTTGCTATAGAGATGAAGAGAGTTGCAAGCCCTATTATCAGCCTGTTTGGTAATGAATACAGGAAATCTTCTTCTGCATAGCGCGAGGTGAGAATGAAGAGGAACATCAATATTGAAGTGGCAGTGCAAAATAGTGCCAATGTATCCGATATGGCGAAAACCAAAAATGACCCGTGATGTAGAAAAACAGGCTTCCCTGTAAGATTATTATTGCCACCTGGTACAGTAAAGGCTGCAGCAAACATCACGGTTGCAATAAGTGTTGCGACAACCATTCATGAAGATGCAGTGTCTTTCATCCACTTTTCCCCTTCGCGAACAAGTCTTCTATGCTCCTCCGAAAACAAAATATGAGGTGTCCTACCCTCGAAATTTTTGGTTTCTCTCTAAGATGGTTGAATAACTTTTTCGACTTCCTGCCATATCAAAAAGATAGTTCATCAACATTCAAACCCAGAAAGAAAATGGTTAATTGAGTTCAGGTTTTGCTTCATTTACATGGTATTTCCCAACAAAACTAATTACTGTGAAGTGCAAGTTTTATGGTTGAAAAGTAATTATTAACCTTGAACCAATGCAACTCTCGTCTAAGTTGCATAGCTCCACGGGCAAGCTTTCTAGCCAAATGCAACATGTTATTTTCATCTTCATAAGCTGCTATCAAAGCTTTATGAGCGCCAATCTCATGAATCAGATTAAAAATGTTTTCTTGACGATGCAACACTGCAATGTGAAATATGCTTCGACTGTGATCATCTACTTTCCAAATAAGGTCAAGATACATCCGAATCAGCACTTTTATGAATTCAACATTCCCCAACTCTGCAGTGGTAAACAACAGCCTTGAAGGTTTCAGATGTAGTTCTCCAATTTTAAAGTCATCTAGCAACAACACTTGCACCCACAGTTGCTTCACCAATTCTAAAGCTTGAAGATGCATCAACTTTTTGTCAAGGATTGCCCTGAAACGTGGAACTGAATGTGCAGGACACAGTCACCTCTTTGTCCAAAATCTTTTATTTTTTAGGAGGAATAAATAGGCAGATAACGATTAGTCTGCAAGAGTAATGGCAGTGAGAAATGGCCTGTAATAGAGTTACTAACAGGAGTAAATGCACCTCTGCCAAATTCCAATCTGACTTCCACTTACAAATGCTGAAGGCTTCCGTGCCAATACATGAAGGAAAAAAATAGCAAGACAATGAGAGCCATGCTGGAGTATTTTTATTTCTCCATCATATAATTTACATAAGTATTAATTGGAGGAAATTGAATGAAATTTGCAATAGCATACCAGTCTCTACTGCTCGTGTGTTTGGTTCTGCAGAAACAGAGAGCATTTGATTGCTTGAATCATGAAAGGTTCAAATTGATGGATCTAAAACGACATGGTCATCAAATCCTTTAGCTTCCAGAAAGTCTACTGGGCTTGTTACAGCTTGATGAGAGTGTTGAATGTCAGAGGCAAAATTGAAGGAAGATTCATAATGGCCATGATCAAATGTTGCTGGCCCAAAAGCATCTTTCAGGCTCAAGTCATCGTCAGAAAATATGGCTAAGCTTGTGTCATCTTCCCCAGAAGACTTGCAAGTGGAATTTACAACAGATTTGATCTCAGGGAAACGAGATTGAATTGAAAGTCCCCTCCCATATTGTGATGGAGGAAGATTGTTCAATATCATTATCTTCAATGAAAATTACTACCTGAGAACAAGCAAAATCAGTAGTATAACAAAAAGAACAACAAAAGAATGTGGTGCTTTATTAGGAGTTAGGACATCACTGTTTCTGGTTCTGAGCAGCTCAATCAGATAAAAGACTTTAAACCTCCAAGCAACTATAACCAAGAACAAGATGAATTATAAATCAAAACATGTAGTGCCGTAAAATGATTGGAATGTCAAAAGCAAAAGTTGAAACAAAGAGTAAAGTTGTTTTCTTATGTTTGAAAACTGATGGTTGCGATCTTCTTCCACCAACTTCACTAATGCTGCCTCGTTTTCTTGTGGCTCATAGTTATTAAAATCTTAAGGAACTGACGTGACCCACGTATGCAATTGGACTGATCAATGCCTACACACTAAACTTTATTCATATAATTGAAGAAACTGACACCGCTGCTTTCTGAGAAAGTTCAAAGCGGGATATTAAGAGATGGGATCGCTTGGCTCTTGGTTCTAGTTCTGTCGTTTACATTGACTAGAGAAGTCTCTTATGGGGATCTTTTTAGGGCTCTAAACGAGCCGAGCCGGCTCTCGACTCGGTAAAAGCTCGTTTAGAGCTCGGCTCGGCTCGACTCGAACTCGGTTTGTTAACCGAGTCAAGTTTGAACACAGTGAAGCTCGGCTCTGAAAGATTCAGCATGCATGAAGAGTGGTGGAGATGGAGAATGAAAGCATGAAAGCATGGATTAAAAAAAACGGTTTACATGCAAAGCTTGGATATGAGATTATACCTACTCCTTTGCTTTGGATTGATGAAGATTAGCTTCAAAAGGATGAAACCTCCACACTTTAACACCACCTTGAGAGGATTAGAGAGTGGCCTTGGCTAGGGAGAGAGAGCTTTTAGTTTGTGTTTGAGTGAACAAGTGAATAATGAACAAAAATGCAACCTTTTGCACTTATATATACTTGGGCTATTTTGCAATTATTTATTTTTCACTTCCAAGCCCAATAAAATCTTATTTTATAAAGGGACCCCACGAATTTAATATGCTACCCTTTGAATAATCAATATTATTCAAGGGCCCATGTAAACTAAACTAGTTTACATTAACAACCCATAAATTTACCCTTTTTACCCTTTAACTATTAAAAGGTTATTTTTGTTCATCTCATTAATCTTAACACTTTAAGATATAATAATTAAATATAATTAATTATTGCTTGACCATTTTAACCCTTAAAATGTCACAAATTGTTTTCTATGTAACTATTACTATAGAAATCCCGTTATTACCCTCGGAAGGTGCTAGCCCTCTTCGGATAATCATTTCTCTCTCTCATCATTCTCTAACTTCTCAAGGCTATTGGTGTGACCATGTAGGTCCACCGTGGATTAGCCGTGAGCCGGTTCGAAAAAGGGAGGTAGCTGGCCCTCGAAGTCCAGCGTATTAGTTTCATATTTAATTTTCCTTGCTGTTTGTTAATTAACTCTGGTATTTGGGTTGTATCCATATTTGAATGTAACTCATATTTTCCATGAACATTACATATTAGAGATCTGAATGATAGATTGTTTACAATCATTGTTGAGTAACTTGATATTGGAAAACTGTGGATGATTGATTAATCAAACAGAGTAGGTTCGAAACAATTGGTATCAGAGCACGATTGTGGGTAATGGTAGCAACGAGAATGGAATCAAGACTAGAAATGTGGAAAGAAAGTGACGAAATTGGGATTGACATGGGAACGATTCTTAGTGTATGTGTTGAATACAAAGTTGGTGAGAAGAAAAGATGACGAGGAAGCTGGACGAGGTGAACCATCATCATCCAGGAACGTGAGAAACCAGTGTGGGGAAATCAAAACGGGATCAGTGGATTGGGAAGTACAGGACAGAATCAGAGTGAGGTGAGGAGGACGTAAACTTGAGGTTACCTATTTTTATGGGGGAAGATCCGTATGGGTGATTGTTCAGAATTGGAGGTACTTCATTTTAATGGAATTCCAATGAAGGGAACTCACAGCTTGCAGCAGTTTGTATGGAAGGTAAGCTATTACTGGTTATCAATGGATGGAGGTCAAGCACCGGTTAACCGTGGCCATCTCACAACTCGCCTTATTTCAGAGATTCAGTGGATCCCAAGAGAGTAACCCTTACAAGACACTCAGGCCATGAACCCACCAGTACAGTTGCAAATTTAGACGCAGATTTGAGGCTGTCGCGACTTGTTGTGGGGAGAAGGAGGAGATATTGAGTGCTGCGTTTTTGAATGGACTTAGGGCGAGATTAGGGCGAATTCAGACGGATCCAGCCCAACACTACTTCTCAATCATAGAGAGAGCCCATAGAGTGGAGGAGCGCAACGGCTTTGAAGGAGGCAAAGAGTGGCCCAGCAAGCACAATAAGTGGAACTGGACCTGGTCTTCATGTTGGATTAGTAACCTTGACCCAGAAATTTTAACCCAAATGTTAACCCAATTACAACCCGACCTGATTCACTCAATTCCCAAATTCAAATGAATCCCTAAGATCAAACGCATTTTCAATTCCTTCTCCAACGTGGGAAGACGAAACGCAGAAGTAACACATGGGTTCACGCTTCAGTCCGTCGTGGGTTCATCGTTTATTCTTCCCCTCGCGAAAATGCGTCCCAACCTTCAGGTCCTTCGGACAGAGTTCAGCCTCCACGACGCAATTCCCTTTCCGAATGACAGAGGCCGAAATACAGCGAAAGAAGGGAAAGGCTTGTGCTTCAAGTGTGTGTGGAAGTTTTCTTGGTCATAAGTGTGGTGGAAGCAATTTCAAGTAATTCTAGTTGACGAAAGAGAAGAAGATCCGGTCGGGTTGACGGTGGAAATCAGTGAGCAACGATGGAGGAACAAAGCCAAGGTAATGTTGAACCTCTCTTTGAGCTCGGTTGTTGGTCAATGGCCCAAAAACGATGAAGTTGAAAGGAATATTATGGGTCAGGAGTGATTATCTGATTGACAGTGGGACTTCCCACAATTTCATTAGTAAGGAGTTGTTGAAAAACTAGGCTTATTGTGACACAAACACAGTCATTTGGGTACGTGTTGAGATGGGTATAAGTGAGGATGTGAGGGAAGTGTAGGCAGTTTGTTTAGAAGTTCAGGAGTAGAACATTTCAGGATTTTTTTTCCTTTGACATAGAGTAGTGCGGATGTTGTCCTAGTATGGTTGGTTTAGAAACGTTGGGCGAAACTACAATGGATTGGCGTAAGCAGGTATGAAATTTCAACTGGGTAGGAAATGGTGACTCTTATAGTTCCGGCACTTAGTAAGACAATGGTCTCCTTGAAGCAATGTTAGAACCTGAAGAGTGAAGGGACTGGCTATCTGGTCGAATTTGGGCAATTTACAAAAACAAGGCGGATGAAGAAGCTGATGTCAGTAGTAGCGTGTTTATCATTGTTACAAATTCAGTTCGTGTCTTTGAGCCATTGCCAGGGTTACCACCGAGTATACTCAGGATCTGCCATTCGATAAACCCTGATGCCCAAATACCGAACCTTCGACCTTATAGATTCCCTATTACCAAAAAAATGAGATTGGAAAATCATCAGCGAGATGTTAGCTTCTGGGATTATTAAGCCGGCATCACCCTTTCTCCAGTTCGGTTCTGCTGGTTAGAAGAAGATGGTGGGTGGCGATTTTGCGTGGATTACAGGGCACTCAACAAGGTAACAATTCCAACAGGTTTCCCATCCCCGCCATTGACGAGTTATTCGACGAACTGGGATTGCCAGGTATTTTCAAGCTGGATTAAAGTCCGGGTACCACCACAATCAGAGTGCAACCAAAGATACACACAGACGGCATTCCGAACTCACGAGGCATACGAATTCCGCGTTTGCCATTCGGATTAACCAACGGCCCTGCCCCATTCCAAGCCTTAATGACGAGGTTTTTCGGCCGTACCTTCGGAAGTTTATCCTATATTCTTCGATGATATTCTGGTTTACAGCAAAACAATGGACGACCACCTACAGCACTCAGTCTCACTTTTCAGACACTGCTCGCAACACAGTAGTGGCCAACCGAAAGCAGTGTTTCTTCGAAACTTCCAATTAGAATATTTGGGCCATTTCATCTCGGCACACGGTTTTGGCTGTGGATCCCTCCAAAATTGAAAGCATTGTCAACTGGCCCCGACCGAAGGATGTGAAAACAACTCAGAGGGTTTCTTGTCCGACAGGGTATTCACAGACTCTTGTAAAAGGTATGGTAAGATAGCACCTTTGACTAATTTGTTACGCAAAGATTCATCATGTGTGGGTGAGAAACCTCAGGAAGCATTTGAGGCATTGAAATCTGCCCGACCAGTGTGACCAGTGTTATTAATGCCTGATTTTTCTAAACCATTCTCATTGAAACTGATGCGTCAGGTTATGGTTTGGGAGCTGTTTTTAATGCAGGAAGGAAGGCCTCTCTTGTGCTTTTCTAGTAAAGGTCTATCAGCAACTTCGAAACTCAAGTCGCGTCTATAAGGAAATGAGGCTATTGTGATGCGGTACAGAAATGGAGACATTATGTTCTTGGTCGCCGATTTGTCATCAGAAACTGACCGAAAAGTCTTCATTTTAATTGACCACACAAGTTGTTGAATGAGTAGCAGCAGAAATGGGTATCAAACATTACTTGGTGCAGTTTGAATACAGTACCCGCCCGGGGCCAAGAATAGGCTGCGGATGCATTGTCCCGACGCCTAAGCATGGCGTAATACGCATTTCAATGGGCCTTTTCGGTGGATTCGAAAGAACTAGAATGTGGGCGCCACCAACAAGAGTAAGTTGCGGCACTCACTCAGCAGCTCTGGTTAACCCTCATGGCACCCCTCAAGTTCAAGTAATTGTAGACACCTTATGTACCAAACAGGTTGGTTGTCCCGAAACAAGGCCCCCATATTCAAAAACTTTGCATGATTTCACTCATCCCCTATTGGAGGCCACTTCGTATTTACAGAACATACAAGCGCTTGATGAAATGTGTT